AAAATTATACTCGGGTCACATAAAAGAAATCACAAACTATTCTTAATTAAGGTCATATAAAATCATATAGTCGAACCTTTCGGTAAATCATCCCAAAGTTCTTTAAACTCTTTCTCTATGCAAGTCTCGATACATTTATAGAACATTTCAGCAACATTATCTCCTTGTTTATTCCTTTTACCGCGTACTCCTTTGTTTACTAACATCTTGATGTTTTGGAATATGTGATAGACACAATATGTATGTTTAGCTCTCCTATACACATCACAAACAATATTTGCTATACTTTGATGTCGATCCGATATCACAACCATATCATCACTATCTAGAATCACTTCCGCCAACCTTCTCATAAACCAACTCTAAGAATCATCATTCTCTGTATCAATTACACCCCAAGCTAAGGGATATAGACGTTGATTACCATCTTGGGTTGTTGCAACAATCAAGAATCGTTTATATGTTGTTTTCAGAGATGTTGCATCTACCACAATTACTTTTCGCATTGAACGCCACCCTTTGATGTAAGCACCAGAACAAATAATGCATACTTAAAAGTTTGTCCGTCTTCTTTTAATTATATATGTGTTACCGTACCTTCATTTTTTTCCTTCAACATGTGAAAATAACTTGAAAGTCTATTATAGTTCTCAACCAGATTTCTCCAAACAACATTTTAAGCATATCTTCTCCCTCTCCATGCCGTTACGTATGGCACTATGCATTTATATGCTTTGCTCACCAAAGACATCAAACTTTTCACTCTTGGAAATTTAACTTGACTTCATAATGTCTTTTCAAATAAGCAACAACCATCTCTATAGTTCCATTGTTGTTTTTCCTTACATCTTCTTCTACTTGTAACACTGGTGAACAAGTATGAATGTTAATGTGTTCCGTCACTGTAAAACACTCTGATTTCTTTTTATAATTGCTCTCAATTTCCACAAGCACTATTTTCTTCAGAATCGATATCTTATTTCCCACAAATGTGATTGTGACTTATAGACAAAGTATTCAAAACATACATCATGTGAAGCTTTCTTTACCTTTATCTTTAGCTCAGCCTTATTCACGAATTTCTTGCCAACTGTAAAACCCAATCTAACTTCAAATGAAAACCTTCATTCCTATTTGTTTGTATTTGACCATCATTCATAACTTCATTACTTGCAACTGCATTATCTACCTTAGTCATAAATTCAACTCCAATCTCCTTAGTCACAATAACCACTTTATTGTCATGTCGTATATTCTCTATGTAGAATATCATGGTCAGCCTCATATGTATCATCGAGCTGTGTTACATGATTTTGTTCTCCATCTTCTCCGTCTAGTGCTTCCAACTCGCAACCCATAACTAAACCACTTCATTCAACTATTTCTCATCTTTCTTGACCATTCACCTCAATTCCGGCCTCAACTTCATTCTCTTCTTGACCATTCGCCTTAACTTTGTTCAATGTATCATCATTGTTCAACTCTACATATAACCATCCTCGACGCCCATTGCTTTTGCTAACATAAAAGATTTTATTCCCATATCATCATATATATATATATTCCGGTCGGTCTCCATTCGTCACCATTGGTACGAAGCTTAACTTCGGTGTTCCTGAATCGATTTTTAACTGGCCACATACAGCTCGAATAAGCTTCTCTTGTGCCACTTGGCTTGCTCTATTACAAACACATATTGTCTTGCTATTATCTTCACCACCTTTCCATTCAAATAATCCATCATTATTTTTCCTCAAAATACTACCGTACCGAATAGAAACAGATATGCAGCAATCTTCAACAACGTCCATGTTCCTATCAGAAAGGTAAAAAATTTGTAATTGCAGATCTCAGATTATTATGACTCTTTTACGACTCAAGTTTTATGACCAATATTTCATTCCAGAAAATCACGTCACTGAATTCTTAGTTTCAGTAATCAATATCAAATCCTAAAACATAAATGAGGATACAATAATGATTGAAAATCAATGGATTTTACTGTTATTGTACCTTATTAGTTGATTTTGTCTTCAATCGCAGAAAAACATAATAGAAACATCCATTTTGAACTGATCGGTATATACAAAAATGGCAGAACAGAGCACGATGGAGGAGAGAGAGATCCACATTTCATTTGTCTTAATTTTTTTATTTTTAACGTTTTTATTAGTGAAAAAGGTAGGAGAGGTAAGTGAGACATTTGACAATAAAGGATATTTTAGACTTTTGCAACAAAAAGTGGTGTACCCTCTATTAAAATTTTTTAACGTTTTTTAGTGGTGTACTTAGAAATAGATGTAACCCAGTGAATAATTTGAATAAAATGCCTGATACTTTACTCACCTCTATCTCGACTAGGGGTGTCAATTTGGGCCCGAGGTCCGAAGCCCGGTCCGGCCCAACCCGAAAATTAGCGGGCTTCAGGCCTAAATTTTCCGGCCCGAAAAAATCGGGCTTTCGGGCCGGCCCGATTGACACCCCTATTCTCGACATACCACGAGTTACTATACATTTTTTTAGGTGAAAAAATTTAGCAAGTTATTTTATTTAAAAAAAAAACTATACGTTTCAATCATAAAAACTTTTACACTATAAAATTTACAAAAAAAAAAACTATTATGCAAATATATATATTTCATAAAATAAATGGAACGCAAGGAAATAATTCCTTTTTTAGACATATAAATTAACATGTTTTAAGGCCATGAAATAAAATATCATATTTTAAAAAAATGTAACTAGCCGAGGAACTTTCGTTGCATTTTTTTTCTCTTGCATAGGCTTATTCAAATACATTATTTAATTTTATTAAAAGACCAAAATTTAAACAGGAATTTTTTATCTTCATACTCTTGACTCATTCGAAGCATTTTTCTTTGTACCTTCTTCTCCATACAATTTATCTAATCCTCACATAATTCAAAGCTGACGACGATGATGATGATAATAATAACAACAACAACAATAATAATAATAATAATAATAATAATAATAATAATAATAATAATAATAATAATAATATTATGTACAAACTGCTCGAATGGAGTTCACTTTTTATTTTAGTTTCATTCACTAAATATAGGAAGATATTATTCTTAGAATATTATCATTAATATTGTTATGATTTACCCTAGATATTATGCCTAGAATATTCTATTGTATTTTGCTATATATTATGATGTATTCTTCTCATTATCAATAATAGAAAACATTTCCCTATTATGGTATCAGAGCTTCGGTTTTTGCTCTAATTTTTTTTTTCTTCTTCTCATCAACAATGTCGGTCGAATCCAAAAGCGACGATGAAGATGACAACGATGTACTAAATCCAATAGTATCATCATCTTGAGTATCGTTTTAAATTTATTTTGCTCTTTTTTTTTCTTCTATTTTTTTCTCCGACGGCGGTGTTCATCATCGTCAACCCTAGCCGATGTGCTATTTTTTTTAAAACGACGATATTCGTTTATCGACGTCAACCCTAGCCCATGTGCTATTTTTTTTAACGACGATGTTCGTTTATCGACGTCAACCCTAGCCGATGTGCTATTTTTTTTTTCTCTGACGACGTTCGTTTATCGACGTCAACCCTAGCCGTTGTAAGCTCTTTAAACATGGCTATTAGCCTCTTTCGATTGGAAAACTTCGATCGTCGATCCACGTATTTGCGTTACTTATTTTTATTTTCTTCTCTTGTCCCGCTGCTAGACTATCACGCATTATGCGTCACGCTTTTGCGCCCATTTTTTTTTCTTTTCTCCGGCCTAGCCGCTATACACATCGCAATTTTTTTTGCGCTGCCGACCTCATTGTCACGCAACCCAACTCGCGCATATGCGCCGCACATCCGTGCCATATTAGCCTCTGAGAATACTACTCTCAAGCTCTTCAAACGTTATCAAGCAACACCAACTCAAGTCTGGACTACACCACCACATGGAAGATGATTCGTTTAATACGATCACAATTTCACTTTTTAGTTTTTATGTAACAAGACTGAATTCATCATAGATGATTCATCTTGAGGGGGCATATAGGAAGATATTATTCTTAGAATATTATCATTAATATTGTTATGATTTACCCTAGATATTATGCCTAGAATATTCTATTGTATTTTGTTATATATTATGATGTATTCTTCCCATTATCAATATAGAAAAATATTTTCCCTATTACTAAATTGTAATTATATTGGCATGTGATGTATGTATTATATTGATGAACACAATTGCAGTACCTTTTTAAATTACTGAATTCTGGGAGATTTGTTAAGATATTAGAAAAAAATTTAAATTAGTAAACTCGTATACGTTTTAAAATTTCCATAACAATGTTTTTACAATTTTAAAAATCTATTTTATCTTTGGGTCTAGACTTTAATTCAGGATTTAGTTGAAGAGAGTTTTGTATTTTAATAATTAAAAGTTATTAATTTGTCAAGAAAGTATTTTTCAATAACTTGGTGACATTTTTATTACTTTCTGGATTATTTAACCAATTACAGTTTTAATCGGTAAGATATCCGCAAAACAGGATATGAGATTGATGACGTCAGACTTAAAAGATATTATTATTATATATTATTTAAATAAAGAAAATCACAAAAGATATTAAAAAAAATGTTCAATCACCACCATATCATATTATTATTATTATTATATTATATTGGCGTCGTAATCGACTAATGAAACGATGATGACGAAATGTGCTAATAATTTATTAAAATTGTCATTCTTTTAAAAAATAAATAAATATTATCGCTATTTTTTTGGCCGTCAAATTGGTAATTTTGATGGCACATTTCATATTACTTTTCCGTTCTTATAAGCCACGATTCAACGTTAATCTAAAGTCCCGAAAATAAGACCACGTGATTTAAATGTTGGACCATTTTCAACGCGTTTTCATTATTATCTTCATACTTATACAAATATATACACACACATATATATATATAATCGAAATAAATCCAAAGCATAACAGAAGAGATTTCAACTGCGGAGAAAAAATCTCAACAAGAAAAAACTCAGCCGCCTTTTCTTCCTTTTTCTTCTTCTTGACTTCTTCGGGAACTTCATCTCTTTAGCCGAAAATCTCAGAGGAACGATCAAATGATCCGACAATGGCTGGAATCAGTAAAAACCCATCTCTAGTTTCTGTTCTTCCCTTGTTTATCTTCTTCTGTTTCATTGTATCTTGCGATGCGAGCAACACAATCACCAGAGACCACCAGATACGAGATGGAGAATCTCTGGTCTCTCAGGACGACAGGTTCGAGCTCGGATTCTTCGGACAGGAGAATTCGACGTCACGGTACTTGGGGATTTGGTACAAGAACATCGAACCTCGAACAGTAATCTGGGTGGCTAATCGGGAAAAGCCGGTTTCGGGTAATAACGGAGTTCTGAGAATTGCAGAAGATGGGAACTTGGTGTTGCAGAGCGGCGGAAACGGCACGGTCTGGTCGTCGAGAGCGCGAATCGAATCGAACAGAACGATCGCTGTTCTGTACGGAACAGGAAATCTAGTTCTGTCGGATTCAGACACAACCAAGTCATACTGGCAAAGCTTTGATCATCCTGCAGATACTTACTTGCCCGGGATGAGAGTTCGAGTGAACCCTTCAATGGGAGAGAACAGAGCTTTCGTTTCATGGAATTCAGAAAACGACCCTTCTCCCGGAAAGTATTCATTAGGCGTTGATCCGAATGGAGCACCGCAGATTGTGATCTGGGAAGGGCAAACTCGGAAATGGCGAAGCGGGCAATGGAACTCACAGATATTCACCGGGGTTCCTGACATGTCTAGTGTCACGAACTACCTCTACGGTTTTAAGCTATCATCTCCTCCGGATTCAAACGGTAGCGTGTACTTCACTTATAATCCGTCCAATAGTTCCGATTTCTTGAGGTTTAGGGTTAGGTTTGACGGTAAAGAGGAGCAGTTCAGGTGGAACGAGGAAGCCAAGAACTGGAGTTCGATCCAGTCAAAACCTACAGTAGAATGTGAGAGATATAACTATTGCGGGAATAACAGCGTTTGCCATGATGGTAAGGACGCGGGTACGGGTAAATGCAGTTGCCTTGACGGGTTTGAGCCGAAGGTTTGGAACCAGTGGATCAATGGCGACTTTTCAGGCGGATGTAGGAGAAGAGTTCCATTGAAATGTCAGAAGAAGAACGACGATAGCGAGAGTAAGATTATTGGAGGACATAGAGAAGATGGGTTTAAGGGGATAAAGTGTGTGAAATTACCCGATTTCGGATCGGTAATTTCGCTGGATGATTCAGAGACCTGCAGAGATATGTGCTTGAGGAATTGCTCGTGTAACGCTTACGCTAACGTTAGTGGGATCGGATGCATGGTTTGGATGAACGATCTGGTCGATATTCAGCGTTTCGTTAACGGTGGAAGCTTGCTGAATATCCGAATGGCCGGCTCTGAACTAGGTAAGAAGCAAAAAATCAAGAACATTTTTGATGATCCAGAGGAGGAAATTCAACTGCTCTCTTCACTTTTTTTTTTCGTTTCGATTTTGTTTGTCGAATTCAGGAACCGGGAAGGAAATATCGAATCTTGTGATCGTTATATTGAGCGTCGTGGCCGCGTTCTTGGCGGGATTAAGCATTTGGATGATATGGAGATTCAAGAAGATCAGCATGAAAGGTAGAGCTTCTCCATCCATGCACAGAAAGAACACAAATACATAGACATTTCTGTATGAGCATATCCATTTATCTGCAGGTCTCTCATGGAGGAGGAAGAAGAAGAAAGAGAAAGATTTACCGGTTTCCGAGAAGAGCAAGAAGAGAGAATGCTCGACCGAGCCTTCGGGATCACTCTGCGAAGTCTTACAAGGCGGTGAAGCCGATGCTCCAGACTTGCCGATCTTCAGCTTCAGCAGTGTAGCTTCTGCAACTAACAATTTCTCCGAAGAAAACAAGCTCGGGCATGGCGGATTCGGAACTGTATACAAGGTAACAACGCTCGGTTTTTTGTTCTCTAGACGCAGATTCTCTCGGAGTTACTAAACGTTAACTTATCGAACAGGGAAATTTTCCGGGAGGGCAGGAAATCGCGGTGAAGAGGCTGTCGGGAAAATCCAAGCAAGGACTGGAGGAATTCAAGAACGAGATCTTGCTAATCGCGAGGCTACAACACAGGAATCTGGTCAGACTTTTAGGATGCTGCATTCAAGACGGAGAGAAGATTCTCCTCTACGAGTACATGCCCAACAAGAGCTTAGACGGTTTCTTGTTCGGTAAGTAAACATGAAAATTACATCATCGCATTCCCTAGAAAGATACATTGAAGATTTCAGACGTTTAGAGATCGATGAAGAATCTTTCTACGCAGACGAAACGAGACGAGAAAAGCTGGATTGGAAGCAACGGGTAGTGATCGTCGAAGGGATAGCGAGAGGATTATTGTACTTGCATCGAGATTCGAGACTCAGAATCATTCACCGTGATCTGAAAGCGAGCAATATCTTGCTGGACAACGAACTGACACCGAAGATCTCAGACTTTGGAATGGCGAGGATCTTCAGCTGCCACCAGGACGAAGCCAACACCATCCGAGTCGTGGGAACATAGTACGTACAATAAAAACCCTAATCTCCATTTCATTACAGAACCAAGATCTCATATAATGTTGATCTGAACTGCAGTGGATATATGTCTCCTGAATACGCCATGGGAGGGCTATTCTCTGAGAAATCTGACGTGTATAGCTTCGGAGTTTTGATAATGGAGATTGTGAGTGGTCGAAGAAACGTTAGTCTTCGTCAATCCGAACATGGAAGTCTCATCGGTTATGTAAGAAACTTCTCCAAAAATCCTAATAAGTAAATCCATCTTTCTGTTTTTGATTTGTAACAATGGTGAATAAAAATTTTCTGCATGCAGGCATGGCATTTGTGGAGCCAAGGGAGGGCCAAGGAGATGATAGATCCAACGGTGAGAGATTCGTGTGATGAGAACGAAGCGTTGAGATGCATACACGTGTCGTTGCTGTGTGTACAGGACAATGCAGCCCAGAGACCGAACATGGCGGCGGTGGTGCTGATGCTCGAAAGTCAGACACAAAGACTTGCAGTTCCACGTCAGCCGACCTTCCACTCGTTTCGGAGCTCCGGCGAGATCGAGATCAATTTGGACGGCCAGGATGTAGCCTCGGTCAACGATGTAACGTTGACCAGTGTGCTCGGTAGATAAACGATACTGACAAATTTCATATTTGACTTTTTTGTTCATATGGTTCCCTTTTTCTTTTTTTCCTTTTGAGATTTTTGTACATCTTTATTCAATTTTGGCTGCCATGGGAATAATAATCAAAATTCGGGCAAGTATGCATATATACAATGAAGGTGGTTGTCTAAATCAAATAAATATGGCATATTGGATGTGATTGGTTTCTTGAATTGGTTGAACTCATAATCGGCCTCCTATTATTATTGTATCAAAATATTAAAATAATAGTTCTTACGCTTTTTTATTATCGAAATAACTTTAGGGAATTTGGATTTCTAAACATACCCGATTTTTAGACAATCAACGAACGATTTAGGGTTGGATGAAACTGAGTACCCGACATTTTGGATTTCGATTCAAATTTGGATTCCAGATTGAATACCAAGCCTAGTACCCGAGAGATTAGAGATGATCATTTTGATTATTAACCGAACAAAACAACTCATAATCGATTATGAATCCCGAACGGTTATAATTTTTTTAAACCCAAAAAAGTTCAACCGAACTAAATAAAAAAACGAAAAATCGAAAAATTTCTTGGAGAAAATGAATTTTTTACCTATAAAAAAGCGAACCCGAACTATACCAAACCGGAATTGATATCAATAAAAAAGTGAATGATTATAGTTGTTGTATAACCGCAATAAACAAAACTCGAATATAACCGAATCGAAACCGGATTCGATGTAGATACTACTAAGAATGTTATAAATGCTAAATTTAATAAAGAAAATAAGATTTTTTATATACGTGTATATCTTATAATATAAATTGAATTTTTTTCCCCAAAACTCGAGAGGAATTCTTTCATGTAGAGAGAAAAATAAACAATCCTAGGTTTTGATAAAATCACAACAACAGAAGGGGCATATCAAAATCACTTTGTTATTTACACGACAAGTCAGGTAGGAAGCATCACAAATTCAACAACAGGACAGAACAAAAGCGAAACTTCCACGATGAAATTCGCATTCACACAGGTAGGTGGTCGGAAACTGGAATATGCATAATGCATCAAGAGCAGCAAGACAATAGATTCTCTTAATGCGCTTTTCCCACAAACAAACACAAAGCATGGATTGGAACAGAAGAAAACACGAGACTTACAAACATGGGTCTGAACATCATAAAACACCGAAAGGGAAGAGAAGGCGCGGGAAGGGAAGACTTCGTGTGTGTTTTTTTCCGATGTCTTTATGAAGCTTTCCCTGCCTGTTCCTGCAGTACATGAAAAACCGGCCCAAGATCAGCTTCTAGAAGGATCAGATCACAAACGTCGAATATTGGTTCAGTCTGTAAGAACATGGTATCATACTCTATCACCTTTCACAAGCAGTCATGGACGAAGATCCAGATCATTGGATGACTCAGGCTTGCATATAGAAACATGCCATGTATCGGCATGGATTCACAAAATACAACATTTTTCTTGCATACCCATCATAACAATTCGATTCTACACAAGTCTTGGATATTGATATATACCAAGAGACAATACAATTTAATGAACAATGAATGCCATTCTCAATTCAATTTAACATCAAAATGACAACGGATTCTTCAATGTAACAGTTTGTAGATCCAAGACAGAGACATATATACGTATAGCCTTGATTGCAGAGTTACCTGATGAGTATAACGACAGAGATGAAGTTACCTGAACTCGAAGCTACCCTTGTTGTTGCTTATCAGAAGCATCATGGTAGTGCTCTTCCTTGTCTTCTCCCTCTCCCTCGACCTCAGCCACCGTGTGAAGCTTGTCGCTGTCGGAAGGAAATTTGGCGCCATTTTCACCATGTTTCTCATCTTCTCCATCTTCTTTCTCATCCGAGAATCTCACAACCACAACGGGACAAACACAGTGATGAACACAGTAATCGCTGACACTCCCCAGCCTCCCTTTGCCACTCCTCTTGGCTGCAGCTCCGAATCCTCTGCTTCCCATGATCAGAGCACTCAACCCTAACCTCTCCACCTCCAGGCACAGCCTCTCCTTCATGTCGTGATCCTTCACGATATGGATCTTGAACGGAATCTCCGCCTCGACCAACGGCTCCGATATATCGTTCGCTTTCGCATTCGTGAAGACGTCGAAATCGTCCTCGAGCTTCCTCTGCGACTCCTCGTTCTCCGGGTCCCACTGCGGCGACAAGTCGATCGCGCCCCAGTCGGCGCCGTACAGGACGCTTGTCGGCCGTACGTGGAGAAGCACGACGGCGTCTCCCGACCGGAGGTAGTTCTGTACGGCCCATCGGACGGCGTAAGCGCTCTCGTCGCTGAGATCGACGGCGATCCCGATCTTGCGCTGGGCTCCTGCCGTCGGAGTGCTGGTCGGAGGGAACCTCGGGGAAGAGGGTTGAACGGTGAGGACCGTCGGAGACTTGCGGTCCGATTTCGGAGATTTTCCCGGAGAAGTCATTGTACAGTCAACGAAGGTCCAGTGTCCGAAAGCGATGACGATGAAGCTTCTAGGGAAGGGTTTTTGGTAAAGGAAACGACTTTGGCGGTGAGAGGAAGACACGATCAGAGCAAAATAAGCTTTTTTAAAAAATAATTTACCAAAAAAAAAGAATTGGTAAAAGAAATAGAAATAATAATAACCGTTAGATTTTTAATCAGACGGCGATGGCGGTGGTAATTTCCCAATTGCTTTTAAAATAAGACTCAAATTCTCTTAAAATTTCCCAATTCCTTCCCTCTAGGGTTTGCGGTTTCGACTTCTCCAGCGATTAAAATCCCCAAATTCGTCTTCTCTCTTAGCACTTTCGTCTTCTTCGTTGCAGTAAACATGCCGCAGAGGCACTCGAAGAACAACAATGACCTAGCTTTCTTCACTTACGACGAGAAGAGGAAACTAGGGTACGGAACCCAAAAGGAGAGATTGGGGAAGGATTCGATCAAGCCCTTCGATGCTTGTTCCCTCTGCTTGAAACCCTTCATCGACCCGATGTGTTGCCAAAAGGGCCATGTGTTCTGCAAGGAGTGCATTCTCGAGTGTCTTTTGGCGCAGAAGAAAGACATTCAGCGGTAATTTACCCATCTCGATCTCCGCTTCTGTTTTTTTTTCTGGGTTTTCTTCCAGTTTTCACTGCTAGTTTCCTTCTTGTTCGGGTTTGTTGATTTCGATTTGTTGCTTGGTTGTATAATATTCCGGTAATTTCATGTGATAGTTTTGTAGCTAAAAGACTTAGCGATTCGGTTCTATTGATACCTGAAAAGTGATGTTTGGTATGTTTTGCTGTGATTGCACTCAATTGAAGGTATAGCTGATGATGAGGCTTGATAAATTGCCCGACAAAGGTTTCATAGATAGTATAGTATAGTATATGTTGTAAGTATATTAGCCGATGCCTAATGTAGGTTTGTTGTAGTTTGGCTAGTGGATTTGATTGGCAGGTTGAATGTTCTTCTTTTGTTACTTGGTTGCTACAACTTCGTGCTGTCAAAAGCATCTTGGATCAAGTATCACGGAAGTGATATGTTTTTGGATGATCTGACTTGTTCTGAGTTGTCACTGCTAGAAATTATCTAAATGAACATGATCTAGACTGCTGTTTATTTCCTCATCGGGGGTATGAAAATTATAGTTTCAAGCTATTTTTCCTTGTTTTGAAGACTTAAAGGGACGCAGACTATGCTTCAAAGACATTCTGGCAGTACTACTGGTCTTGAAATTGTTGAGTAACTGATTTTTTGCTGCTGATGAGTAGTTAGAACTTAGAAGTTCAGGGAAAAAGGTGCTATGAAGTGTTTAATCCATGTCATGACAGCCTCGGGTTTGCGGTTTTAGGATAATATTATGTGCAAGAAGAAAGCATTGGAACGAGGACAAGGAGATCTAAAAATGTGATGTTTGAATCACTTAGCTGACTAGCATCACTTGCAGATATACAATTCAGATTTTTTGAAATTTAGAATACCATTTTACTGGAGGTGTTGAAAACTTTCCAGCGAGGCTACTTTTTTCTGTCTGTGCCTTGACTTTGAGGGGAATGATTGCCCATGAGAATCACGGTTTTGTTGAAAATTAGATAATCTGTTCGAATGTTAGTCGATCTGGTCATATCTTGTATCTGACATTGCCGGTTTGTGGATCTCTTTTCAGGAAGCTAGCTGCCCATTCCGCTCAAAAGAAGCAAGAGAAAGAGGAGGAGGAAGAGAGGCAGACCTTGCAAAAAGCGAGAGAACTTGATGAATTTGATCAGCAAAATCATGGTGCTTTACCTCGATACAGTGACAGGAATCACAGCCAAGACAAGAATGGTTTTCACGGGGCAAATAGTGTGAAGACAACGTCTTTTGAAGAAGAAGCTCTCAAGACAATGAAAGCTTTCTGGCTTCCTTCGGCTACACCTGAGGCTCCCGCCAAAGTAGAAGCTCCCGAAACTCACACGCTCTGTCCGGAGGGCAAGGAGAAACTCAAGCTCAAGACCCTTTTCCCAATCCGCTTCACAGAAGACAACAGCAGTGAGAAGAAGTCGTCTAGTTGTACCTATGACAAGTCATACATCTGTCCGAGCTGCAAAGTCACACTCACAAACACGATGTCTCTCGTGGCAATTAGCTCATGTGGGCATGTGTTCTGCAAGAAATGTGCTGATAAGTTCATGCCTGTTGACAAGGTCTGTCTTGTATGCAACAAATCATGCAAGGAGAGGAACTTGGTTAACTTGGAGAAAGGTGGAACCGGATTTGCAGGCCACGATGAACGTCTCGAGGCTAAGGACTACAAGCATTTGGGTAGCGGGAGCGGACTGGGGCTGGTCAGACCAGTGAAGACATAAAAAAAACAACAAAAGTTAAAGTGTTTCTCTCCAAACTCTCTGTTCCTGTTTTGGACATGGAATGTGTCTTGCTCTGACTCTTATGTTTCAATCCAATACGATCTTATATGATAATGTAATGGTTTGCATTGAATATGCCATTTTCATGGTGTTGAACTATGAATTTGCATATTTTTGTATCTGATATGTATTGGAGGTAGATGTGTTTGTGTCATTTTCAAGTTCAGCAATTCACTTTTCCACTTTTTCTCCAAGTTGCTGAAAAAGCAAATGGCCGCAATAATAATGTCCTAACTCGAATCTTCGAGTTTTGGATTAGATAAGGACATGTGCAGCAATAATGATGGAATCATTCTTGATATATATGTCAATTACCTTTATAATAAATGTGTAAAATCACATAAAAATTCTTCTACTTTTCGTTTAACATATAAATTATTATTTAAACAAAGGTTTCATTGAATAAATTATTATTTAATCAAAGTTTCATTGAACTTTGATCAACGTTGATTTTTAATAATAACCGCATACACCACATCAATAATTTTTTTTTTCTTTTAAAAAGGTGAAATTCCGAAAACAATTTTCACATATATACACGTCTACATTTATATACACATACATAAATGTATATACGTAACTATATGTGTATATTTATATATGTATATTTGTGCATTTTTTTACTGAATTTCTCTTTTAAAAAATTGTGGAGGTGGTAAAAGATGATGAGCAAGCTCCAAGTGATAAAATTCTAAGTGATAAGTTCGGGGTTTCTAAAAATTCTTTTATTTAATAAGGGAAAATTAGAAGAATTAGTTTTTAATTTTGTACGAAATTAATAATAACAATATATTTTGAATTAAAATTCTGATTATCCGCCTAAATCATATTTAAGATAAGAATCAATAAATAAGCAACCGCCTTAATTATAATTTAACCGATGACTAAAAACAGGTGATGTGTGAGGTGAGTTTTAATAGAGCTCGATAATTGAAAACGTTGCATAACTAAAATTTTTATTTTGTATAATATAGTTTTAATAATCTTACAGTTACTTACCAAATTTTAATTTAAGGAAGGTTCGTATACTAAAAAAAACGTATTATTGTTTGTAGATAAAGATAGATATCAATCACTACAGCCGAAAATTCCACGTGGCAACATCTGTGCCGTCAATAATGACGGTCTCTATATTCTCTTCTCTCTCTATATATATATATATATATTTTTTTTACCCGCCAAATCACCATACAAAAAATAAAAATAAAAATAAAAAACAAATCAGAGGGCGTTCACCAAAAAGCAGATCCTCTTGGAGAAGATATATCAAGGAAGGAAGGCAAAAAACCCTAAATTGCATCTCTCTCTCTGCTTTTCCCCAATGGCGGATTTGGATAAGCTAGAGAAGGGAGATGCAGTATTTAACGGCGACGGCGGCGGCGCGGCGGCGGAGGTGGAGAAGCCTAGGGAACCGGAAGGGATATCTGTGTTGGATTTTGATCTGCTGTGTTCCACGGTGGCGCTTCAAACGCAGGGCAATTGGATGAAGCTCGAGAGCGATGAAGACAGAGATTTGGATATCGATTCTGGCGGCAGTGTGTTGCGGATGTGGGAAGGAGATGTCATGGATTGCTTCGAGGATCGTCGTGTCTTAATCGAATCCGCTTGGTGAGTTTCCCTTTTTGGGTTTTTGTTTTTTCCGATTGTAATCGCCATTGTTCTAGGTGTTCCGATTTGGGCGAGGTCCTATTTTTTTTTTAAAAGATTTTCCTGGAAAACGGAAAATTTTCGGGACCATGATGGATGTCAATGTACATGTTCGTTCCTACAGGTTTTTTGTTTCATTTATTTTTTCGTATTGTTTTTTAGATGTTGGCCTGAGTTTGATCACTTTGTAAGTTTGTATCTCGTGTTGAAATTGTTCTGGTCAAATTAGGTCAAATATACCACAATAGAAAGGAGAAAGCTTTACTCTGCCTTTTTTTTCCTCGTATTTTGCTGTTTAAGTTTGAAACTTGGATGAAAAATGGGGCATTTCTATCTTTCTGTTCTTACATTTCTTCTGATAATATAATCGATAACGGAGCATTTGCCTGCATTTGGTTTGGTTGTAAAATTAATGATTGATTGTGTGATAATCTGTGTGTCAGCTTAGTAATGTCATCTTGTTTGCTGTTTATGCATTCTTGAAGGAATGCTTAATTGTATTTCTTCTGCTGCAGTTGTCCGTGCTACAGATTCGGGAAAAACATGATGCGAGCTAGTTTTGGTTCTTGTTGTATTCAGGTATGATCTTGTAGAAACCTTTTACTAAAGTCTTGAAGCTGTTGTCAACACATTAGATATTGTAAATCTTGAATCTTCGGTTTATATCTCTTCTGGATTACAATCAGTGAAGGATGTTGAGTTAGTGTCCTATCGTGACTCCTTGTTTTGATGAATTTTTCAGGCTACTGTTCATCTGATTCTTGTCGTTGGCCTACTTTTGAACATCGCAGCTTTTGCTGTAACTAAGAGGCACTATTATCTCTATTTCACTGTTGCTTTCATCCTTTTGATCGGATCCTATTTGGGTTTCTTCCGGATGCAGATAAGAAGGAAATTCAACATTAGGGTGAGTCCTTGAGGTTGTGTATTAATCTTTCTTTGAGTATGCCCATTTCTTGTTCTGCACAACTTTCTTGTTTATCTTCTGGTCTTACCATACCAAGCATCCCATCTCTGCACTCTTCGAATGGGGGATACTTGTTTTAACATGCAGCACTTTTTGGCTGAACTTGATTTTTGGATATGGAAAACTGCCGAGTTATGATCACTTCCAGTTCCAAAAGACTGCTCAGAAACTAACAGATGAAGAGTAGTGAGTTTTTTTTCTTCAGAAAACCAGTCCATAGTTCATCTTGATTTGATTAAAAGACATTGCTTCTATTTTTTTTTTGTTAACGCATTGCTTCTTAAATTGATACGAGTTTATGAGCTACATTCTTCTGCTGCCCTTTTTAGCACCCAGATTTCCGTACCTATGAATGAATTTATGTTGAGGGTTTTCATGGATTGAATCAATCACTTTTTCTTACTGTATCTATCGCAATTATGTTCAAGTAGTCGTATAATAAATGATGGATCTTCATGCATCATGACCTTATTGGGTTACTTTGGGGGTTTATTCTTTTCTACAGGGCGCTGATAGCTTCTTGGACGACTGTGTCTCCCATCTGATCTGTCCTTGCTGTACATTAAGCCAGGTAAAGCTCGTCCCCCTGTTTTTGTCTTAACATGAAAGAGAGAAGAAAGGCGTATCCTTTATGCTTGTAATTCAACTAGTAGATACAACCTGGGCTAAAGCAAGCAATGCCAGAAGTGTAATAACCTAATATTGGCACGGTTTCTTCTCGTTGACGTAATTCAGGAATCAAGAACTTTGGAGATGAATAATGTCCATGACGGTATCTGGCATGGACGGGGCGACATGTTATGTATAGGTAGCTATCCGGAAGGGAAATCTCTTCTCGAGCTCCACTCACCTCCGGTAGTCGTTTCATCCATGTCTTCAGAATCCAAGAACGGAGAACAAAGTAACTTGTAGCAGAGGTTAAAACTCAACCTCTATAGGCCATATAGATGATGATGATCATCATCGTCATTAGCTCTCCTGTAACAGAGTGCGATCAGATCTTCCATCAAGGTTGAATCAGCTTGGATGCCCCATGATTTAACAGTTGAATCTTGAAGTTGAAGCTTCATAGGAAATAGGCAAAATCTGCATCTAACAGTGACAGATGGCACTTAGTTGTTCATAACTTCATATATATATATATATATTGCCATTTTTACGTCTTCGGAAGAGAATGTCAGAAGAAACCTGTCTTTATCTGATTTCGATCGCCTGATAATTACACATTTTGATGTCCTGATGATCTCCTATAAAATATCTTGTTTCTTGCAAAGTTTTTTTTTCCCCTTAGAATCTCTTCTATAAAATAAATTCTGCCCAAAAAGAAACAAATCTCCTCCGTACATGTACCTATTTATTGTGGGCAGAAGATGGAATCTTCGATGATAAAGACGGATATTATATATATATACATATTTACTGTGGGAAGAGATAGAATCTTTGGTGATAAAGATGGATATTTTATATTTCCTGTTTTATAGAGTTTGTCTTATAGCTGAAGATTCGCTTTTACACTTACTGAAATATGTTTTAGATTCAGCCTGTTTTCCTATTTTCGAATATAATTATATACTCCCTCCCTTTAGTTTTAAATATCGTTTTAGCTTTAAACATACATTTTAAAAAAATATATTGTCTAAAATATTCTCTTTAATTTATTTTATTTTTTCAATACTATTAATTGTTTTTCACATATTAACTAGAGACATTATTAAAAAATATTTCTATCTTCTAGTTTGATGATCATGTGACCAAATATAATTCTGATCACATGATCATATTGATTATGTTCACCACTTACATAGTATACTAATCATTTGATAAGGTTATTATAAATTTAACGATCAACGTGATTATCATATGTTCAAATTATAATTGTGGTTATATAGTTATGACGGGATAAAAATATGGGTTGAAGTCAAAATGGTATATAAAAATTATTTTTGATATAATGCCTGTTAATTATGATGGGTAAATTTGGAAAACAATATAAAAAAATTGCATAGAAGATCCAAAAACGTCATTAATTTTATAAAAGCTTTTAAAAAGTGAGTATTATTTAGGTTTAATCCTTTGGTTGGGTTTATTCGGTTGGATATTAATCGAGATGCCTAGAAAAATACAACAAAATACTTTAAATTTTTTCTAAATTTTAAGAAAATATTTATATTTTGAAAATGAAAAAATAGATATGAGTTAAAGGTATCAATTTTTCGAGATAACATTCTTTTTTTCACATGTCATGCCCCGGATTTAAATTTTTTTCAAAGTTCATATATTTATTTAATATTTTAGAAAATATGTATTTTGATGATATTTTAAAATACGTGTATTAATTTGTTATTTTTTTCTCGTCATTATACTTTTACCGAATTTTCTGAACCATAACAATGAAAAAAAAATATTTCTAGTGAATATCTTTATACATGAATTTCGGGATATCGTCTGGCAAGAATCTAAACCCAACGGTATTTAGTATTTACCAAAAGATTAAAAGATATTATAGTTACTGAAATTCTAATAAATCCATAATTTCTTTTTCCTGCAACGACTTAGCATACACACACATATTTATATATAAATACGAAACCACACCCTTTTTTAAATTATTTTATTTTATAATAATAAATCCTCAGATTCTGCCTCGACGACTCAATCACCAGATTCTCCGAGTTCGTAGGTTTCGCCACTAAATACTATATTAACATTTAATTCTCTCCTTTCTCGTTATAATTATGTTTTTTTATATATTTTAATCGTTTATTCTCGATCTATAATTTTTTTTTATTTTCTTTAGTTTCTTCGTCAACCCATCCTTGCTCCCGCCGTCGCCAAAAAGCTGAAAGAGTAAGTTCCAATGTCTCTTGTCTTTTTTCTTGTGTCTGTTCCATTGGTTTCAGATTTCTGTTTTTTTTTTTTTCAAAATTACCCAGAAACGAGGAAAATGAGCGAATTAGGGTTCTTACGCAATGAAGAGACCAATTCCATCTTTTTTCAAGTGGTTAATTGATCCACGAAAGAGAAAATACAAAAAAATATTTAAATTATTGATTTAATTTTTTTTTTGGTAAAAGATTTAATTTTTATTTTAATCTGTCAAGGTTTCGAGTTTATCTCAAAGTAGAGCACTTTCATTCATATAACTCTGTTATATATTCCTACTCAAACTCTGTTATATGTGTGTGTGTATATATTTTTATACGTATAGTTCTCCATCTATTTGCAAATATATTTGAAGTTTCTGAAAAAAATTGCAGTTTCCATCAAGATGAGCAGTTGTCCAGAGAACGAGAACGCCCCACCGACCAGGCTTGAGGTTTGTATGACAAAACATTCAGACATTTATATAAACTTATAAATAATGATGGTTTTGTGTATAATCTGTAATCAAGATCTAATTTTTTCGATGAACAGGGCAAGTTCCAAGCGTTGGTTGTCTGCTGTTTCCTGGGACTTGGATCGCTTGTGGCATGGAACAGTATGCTCACCATTGCTGACTACTACTACCAAGTGTTTCCGGTACTTGAAAACTTCGATCTTGATCCTCGATTCGTCTAAACTTTGAGAAAATCGATTAATTTCTCGAAGTTTTAGCCTTTTTTATGTGTTTTTTCTTATCATAAAGGATTATCATCCATCAAGGGTCCTCACTCTGGTTTACCAACCGTTTGCCTGTGCGACGATAGCGATATTGGCTTACTATGAGGCGAAAATCAATACCCGAAAGAGGAATATCTTCGGATATGCCCTTTACACCGTCAGCACGTTCCTTCTCATCGTTGTAAGCACTGCTCTCTCTGGCTATCATCTTCGAGATTGTGTTGTGCTTCTGGTTTGTGTATGTATGTATGTAGGTATGTATGTGTCATTTGGTTTCTTGCAGTTGGATTTGGCTACAAAGGGACAAGGAGGAGTTATACCCTACGTTCTGTTGTGCCTCATAGTGGCCAGTTTCGGTCTGGCAGATGCTCATGTACAAGGTGGTATGGTTGGAGATTTGTCCTTCATGTGTCCCGAGTTCATCCAGGTTCCAAAACTCTTTCCCCCGAGCTCTCTAATCTCTGACAAATCTCAAATCTCGTTGATTTTCTCGCCACTTTTAATGTTTTTGCCTTGATGTTTTTGTCAGTCATTCATGGGGGGTCTTGGTATTTCTGGAGCTCTTACTTCGTGTTTGAGGCTTATGACCAAAGCTATCTTCGATAAATCTCCCAATGGCCTGCGTAAAGGCGCTTGTGCGTCATTCTCATATCTTCCTTTTGTTTATATACCCTCACATATGTGTGTGTATATATTGATCCAACATCTATATACATACCTTCTGTTTTGCAGTGCTGTTCTTGGCGATATCCACTCTTATCGAGCTCCTCTGCATCTTTCTATATGCTTACGTGTTTCCTAAGCTACCGATTGTTAAGTACTATCGAGCGAAAGCTGCAGCCGAAGGGGCAAAAACCGTTTCCGCTGATCTTATGGCAGCCGGCCTTCAAGACAAAGCTGCACAGGTTCTACTCAGATTTCACTTTGTATGATTTGTATCTGTTATGTAAACCTCTGGAGACTGATTTCGTTGTTTCGTTTTGAAAGGTTGCTGAATTGGATCAATCGAAGATCCAACGACGGTCCAACAAGCAGTTGTTGAGGGAAAACATCGACCACGGGATCAACCTTTACCTGGTTTATGTAGTGACACTGTCGATTTTTCCTGGGTTCTTGTACGAGAACACCGGAGAACATCAGCTGGGTACATGGTAAATTCATAAAAAAAACTCTTATCTTTTTCATTGAATGATAGTTTTTCAGACGATTAAAATGACCAAAGTTGCATCCTTTTGCCAAATCTTTCAGGTACCCTCTTGTCCTTGTAGCTGCATACAACTGTTGGGATACCGTCTCGAGGTACATCCCTATGATCAAATGCCTCGCATTGGAATCGAGGAAATGGCTAACAGTCTGCGTTCTAGCCCGATTTGCTCTCGTCCCCGCGTTCTATTTCACTGCCAAATATGCCGACCAAGGATGGATGATCTTCCTTACTTCCTTCTTGGGCTTGACCAATGGTTATCTCACTGTCTGCATTCTCTCTGCTGCTCCCAAAGGTTACAATGTAAGTGTTCTCTGCAACATTTCCTTGGTTGTTTTTTCTCTCGGGTTCTTGCCCCCGGGATTGATATGATGGTTTCTTGCAGGGTCCCGAGTCCAACGCGTTGGGGAACCTTCTCGTCGGGTTTCTGCTAGGAGGGATCTTCTCTGGCGTGTGCCTTGACTGGCTCTGGCTTATCCCTTCCAAGACTGCCTTTTAGTCTTTTGCTCCATTCTTCAGTTCAGATACTTTGATTTTTCATTACAAGTGTTCATACTCAAAAGTCTTTTGGAGGAGATTGATCTATTATTATTTTTTTTTTATTTCATTGGTTGAGTGTTTAGTTGATCCAATATATGCTTTCATTTGGATGTTTTTCCTCCACAGTTCTTTGAATTATATAATGAATATACATATAATTGAGTGAATCTGTATATAATGAATCATATAAAAGAAAAAATATGAACTTTTTATTGATTCATTCATTCCCTCTGTGCCAAAGAAACCATTTTCTCAAAGGTCTTTTCACCGGTTTTGTCTTTTAGGCAACAGAGAACACAAACTCTATAGTTAGAAAATTGAACTGAAAATTTTCAGACAAAAAAAAAAAAAAACAAACAAGTTGTTGTGTTTCCCTTTGTTTTCTGTTTTTCCCTCTTTTGAACAAAACAAAATCTGGATTATCTCCAAAGCAATGGTGACAGGAAAAAAAGAGATGGGAGCTTTCTTTCTTTCGTCTTCTATGGTGCCATCAGACCATCGATCGTGTAAGAAAGAGACTTTGCCCAGTCGGTTTTAAGCACCATTGTTTGCAGAGTGTGCATCACATCGTATCCGGGATCGAGTTTTCGCTGCCATCCCTACAATTATCCCGGCAATATCGGTGTTATTACCATGTCTGAAACAAATCTTTACAGTTCTTAGTTCTATGGAAAATTTCTATGTATTCATGCAAAAGTTGCTTATAACAGCTCATAAGTCAGTTTCTTGCATCCTGTTCTTAGCTTAACATGCTTGAGTTTTTGTTCCATGTTCTGTAGGAAGGTGAATCAGTAAAGATTTCTGCTAATAAGCCTAAATTTTCGAACTAAATCATCCGATCTTAATAAATGATACGAAAAAAACGGTAACTCACCTCGAGAACTAATGTCGTGACCATTACTGTGCAAACGTTGCCGTCAATGTTAACTCTGTATCGTCTTACTTTCTCGAGCAATTCATGCATGCAATCAGCTGGATGGACTAAATCTCCCTCTGCTGTTCCCCAGAATTTGAATGCCTCCTCTACTTCCTGCAAGATTATATACATACATACATATATATATATATGCACACACACACACGCATAAGCGAAAATCTTTGAATGATCTCTCTCTGCTTATTTCTGCGTAAACATCAGAAGTTCAATCTCGTTCTGATATAATTACCTCAATGAAGGCTTGTGGATTCGGACAAGACTGTTGTTTTGATAGTCTGAGAGTGCATTCAGCAGCAGTCCGACCATCCCTGCGAGCAACCGCCTTGAAAAACTCAAGCAAGTTTTCTCGGTCATTCTTCGAGAGTTCAGCTGTCATTCCCACATCAAGGAAAACGATGTGGGGCTTCTTTGATTTGAAAAGGCCTCCACGAGAATTCTTCTTCCGCACAAGTATATTTCCCGGGTGCATATCAGCGTGAATAAAGTTGTCCACCTGAATTTCAAGATACAGAAGCTGTTATACCGAGGCAAAAGATATGAGAATTGCATCTATCAAGAAACATAATTGTCTAATAACACGATTATAATACCAGGAGCATCTTCAGAAGGGCATGAGTCCCAATATGAGCAAGTCTAGCCTTGATCTGTTCATGACCTTCTTCCATGTCATCAACGTAACGTGACACGCTTTCTCCTTGCTCATAAGTCTCAACCAGAACAGCGGGATGTACCAGAGGATATACGGGCTTTGGAAAAGAGACATCTTTCCATCTACGGAAGTTATATATAAACCGACTCAGATGGGAAGCTTCCCTCGCGAGATCAACTTGGTACAACATGAAAACGGCAAACTGTTGAACACTCTCATCTAATCTCAACCACTTCAAAGCTGGGATTAGATTAGATATCTTAGCCACCAGATTGATTATCGCAAAGTCTCTCCTGATCGATTCACCAACACCCGGATGTCTAACTTTGACGGCAACCACCGTGGGTTTCGTCTTTTGTCCTGGATAGTTATACCTCAAGGAAGCTCGATGAACTTGGGCAATACTTCCGGATGCCACTGGTGCCTCTTCAAAATCCTCAAATATCTCGGAAAGTTTACGGCCAAATGCCCTTTCGATGGTTTTCTTCGTGTGGGCAAAGCTGTGCTCTGGAGCTTTACTGTGAAGCTTTGAGAGCTGCAAACACAAATCCCTCGGGAAGAGATCTGGCCGGGTGGCTGCCCATTGACCCCATTTGATGAAAGCAGGACCTGCCCTTTCCAGAGTACGGTGTACAATCTCAAGCCAGAGTCTCCTGAAACGTGGCCCGCATATATCCGCAAAGGGTGCAAGCATAAGGCTCGGAGAAAACAAGACAGCTAAATAGAGCGCCCTCACAATCAGAACAACACCTTCTATCAACGAGAGCACTAGAGAAGACAGATATATAGGGCCATTCTTTGCGGTCATGTACAAAGAATTCTGCGAAGGGAAGTGATCTATCACTGGACTGGAAGCTCTTTCCGCCCATGCTACTTGCCCACAAGTCACAGCAAAGATGCCGGGAACTAACAAATGCGAACGGGTCAGCGACAAGCTTACAGCTTGGGCGATGGTGCTGATACGAGGCCAACTCCAGTAGCCGGTAGAATATTTACAATGAAGCCTTTTCCAGACAACATTGGCGTGATGCGTAACTACATTGCTCGCAGAGGCAAGTGAATAACTTCGTGAGAGTAGATTCCGAGAAAAATTTCCTTGACCATCACGGTAGGAGAATGGACGATGGCCGTTAATTCTGAATTGGGGCAACCTTAGAGCGACCCTAACTAGTGTTTTGTAACTTCTTGAATCCGGAATTCTGTTTTTCTGGTCGGAGAAAAGCGAAGTTGTGTATCGGCTAACGACTCGAAAGATCAGAAATCTGAAAGGAAGCAAGATTCAAGATTAAGGAGACAACGGATTAGGTTTACTTGAACGGTGGATGCCAGGAATTCACCGTTCAATCAACGACAAGAAACATCATTGAGATTGTATAAACCATAGAATCTCCGAAATTTCATAGATGATTCGACAAAAGCTTGGATTTTTTTCAAAACCCATGAATCAAAATCTGTCCTCCGAGAAAACGGGAAGAACAAAAACCCGATCAGAATCCACGAATAACCCAGAAAATAAAAAACCCAGATAGGTAGAACACGAAGCAGCCCTAGAGAAGCTGAATCAGAATCAAACACATGATCTCTGAACAACAACACAAGCGGGCAGATGAAACGAACCTGGACATGGCGGCGAGAAAAGGCGGCGGTAATGAGAAAACGAGTGCTGGGTATGGATCCCTACAACGTAAAACCCCGCGAGCATCTTCTCATTGACCTCGACTTGATGGCTAGGATCAAACGAAATTCCCGTCGATGTTTTTCCGGCAGCTTTATCTTAGCTCCGGGAGAAACCTAAACGCAGAGAGAGAGAGAGAGAGAGAGAGAGAGAGAGAGAGAGAGAGAGAGAGAGTAGGTCACTGGCCTTGGGGTTTGGTTTTCGGCCCACAAAGGAATTTATTGGTCTCGTGGGCTTCACGCAAACTCGTGATCTTGTCGGAAGCAGTGACTTTCAAAAACCCCAAGGCAATGACGTAAACAAGGCTCGGTCCATAATTTTTTTTTCCCGGATCTATTTCCATTTCTTTTGTCACATCAAATTTATTTCCATTTCAAAAATAATATGGTCATATAAAATTAATTTTTTTAGTATTTGCTAATTTAATGGTTCGGTAATACTACTTTTTTTTAATTAGATAGCATGTTTAAGAAATTTGGTTTTATTTTCCATTTTTAATTCATTGTTTAGATATTAACCCATTTAGTTGTATGAATTAGTGTTCAAACTCTAAGTATCATTAGGGATTGACATTTGGTTCGGTTCTTTCTAAACCGAATCTATCCAAATGGAATCGGAAGCAATTATAAACGAATCGAATTTAATATAAAAATGGAACAATTATAATATTTTAAAATTATAAATCGAATTTGAATTTAAATCGAATGGAATCCGAATGAAACCGTATCTAACATTATATAACGTAATCTAAATAAGATTAAACCGACTTAAATAAAACTGAACCGAATGTGATCCGAAACCGGAATTGAGGACCAATATTTGGATGAATACTATAATATAGAATACATAGTTACTGAAAATGCCTAGGTTTCCCCTCACAGCTTTTCAAACTTCGTCCCCCCTGACTGAGCTCCGTCGCTCGGCCTCGTTGCTGTCACCGTCGCATCCTTGTCGCCACCGTCAAGGGACCGCCATCGCCGGTTAGGTATGGTCTCTTTCCTCCATGGGTTTAGTTCGACTTGGAAACCAAAGTCTTGATTCTCGCTGAGATTTGCATTTCCGATTCTGATTCTGGAATCTGAACTGAACACCGGTCGTGTAG